TTAATGTAAACTTATTAGTGATTCAGCTGCTTAATAACCAGCCGACAAATAAATCAGTGCTGATAAACAGTTTAACGTCCCAACAGTTATAGTTTTATCAACCATCTGTTTCATTTAGATAAAAACTAATTTAACAACTATAAACTCTTTGTTCCAACTGTGTCATCTGGAAACTAAAGAAAACAATAAAAAAGGTTTTAACGCCAATAAAGAGCTGCAGACAATAAACCTGTAACGACGACAGTAAAGAGGAGGAAGAATAAAGAATAAACAGACTGAACAACAACAACAACAACAACAACAATCAACCAGACAAATAAATCTGTTACATCATCTATAAAAGCTCCGGCTGTTCAAGAAGGAACAGTGGACAGTTAACAGCAGCAAAAAGGTGAAAATAACAACAAAAAACTGTACTGTAAAAAAATAAGATTTGTAAAAACATAGCTAAAAGCCAAAAATGCTAAACATAAAAGCTAAAATCAGCAAAAACTGTAGCTGAAAGCTAAATGTAGCAAAACCCTCAGTAAAAGCTACTTAAACAAAACGTTAACTAAAAACCAAAGCGAGCAGTGTATAACAGATCAGTCTGAGTTTATTTTTGGGGGAATTTTCTTTAGAATAAAGTGATTTTGAAAAGCCAAAAAGTCAGGGACATTGGGCCTCATGCAAGAACATGTTCGTATTCTTCTCCTAAATTTCTCTTACTTTTGTTCGTACAAAGGGTTCGTACGAACATGTCACGTCAGATTCAACAAACMCTTCTATCTTCAGGAAAAGTGTGTAAATGAGCTGCGTAAATTCCACCTGTTCGTATCCAGCTGCTCGTGCACGTTGAGAGGAGATTAGCATAATTACCACCCCAAAAACACCATATAAGGCTGTGTTTCCTGCCTCAGATATCAGGAAGTGTCCATTCATGAAAAATGACAGCGAAAACTAAAAATAAAAACTTTATGAGTTCAGAGATTGAAGTCCGTCTGTCAGAGATCCAGAAAAGAAAATCTGTCATTTTTAGCAGGTCAGCTGTGGAATAAAAAGAGCTGCTAAAAGTATAAACAACTGTGTTAAATCATTTTCATTTATTCAGAAGACACAGCGCTGCGCACCGTACACCCCCACCCCGCCCCCCAGCCCAGCCCACGCGCGGTCGCAGGTGGTCTCAGATGCGGTTCTGAAATAAGCATTTTAAAATGTTTTCAAAATAAGTCTGGCACTTTGGAGAAAACCCAGGACTCACTGGAGGGATTATGTACCCCCTCTGACCTGGGAACATCTCAGAGTCCCCCAGGACGAGCTGGAAGATGTCGCTGGGGAGAGCAGGGTCTCCTGCTGCTGCCCCCACGACCCGATCCTGGATAAGCGGCGGAAAACGGACAATTTATATGGTAAGTCTAAATTATTACATTTAAAATTTTAACTCTAATTCAAGCAGAATAACCTATTGTCAACATAATTATGGAGTGTGATTTATTTTCAACTCAAAATATCTTCAAACTAACGAAATATAAAGTTATTAGTGAAGAAAACCCGTCTGGATAACAGCAGACTGACTGCTGGTAAAATATACGACAGGTCTGGACCACTCCTGAATTTTGTTCGTATCTGAAAAAAATCTTAGAAAATGAAAACATTGGTGAATGTCACAAATTCTCCTAAATCACTCGTACGCACAACTTAAGAACAAATCTGTGCGTACGAACGGTTCTTGCATGAGGCCCATTGTTCCAAATAGAGACAATTGTTTTGATGTTTTATTCACTATAAACTAAAGTCTGCAGAAACTGTTGGACTGAGAAGAATAAAACAGATTTTTTTAGCCAAATATAAAAAAAGTTGGATGTAAAAAGCAAAGTAAAACAAAGTTAAAGTCAGAGCATTCTTTAATCTGCAGCTGGAGGTAAGACCAGCTTCAGCTCTGACACCTGCCAATAAAAACCTTCAGTTCAGCTCTTCAGGGCTTCCCTCTCACCTGAGCACCAATCAACACCTTTTTTTTCTGTGTCCCGTCAAGCTTGTTTAGCGATAAAAGCGTATCTCAACAACCTTTGAAGAGTCATTTCCCCAGCGAGCAATTTGCTCGACGAGGTGCAAAGTGTCAAGGTGAGCGTGAACCACGCCGCTGACAGGAAGCCGACAGGAAGCCGGTGAAGGAGGAGAAGAGAAGAGGAGAAGAGGAGGAGGGAGATAAAACACCGACTGTCACGTCCTGAAAAAGGACGGCTATTTATCTTATCAGGATCCATTAGACGTGACGCAGAAAAATATCAGATTTTAGACTTCAGTAAGAGACCAGACTGACCCTGACTGATGCATTAAGATGTTCTACCAGACATTTATTGTGTCAAATTATTTATTTATTTTAAATGATCTGTTACCCTGTTCAGTGTCTCCATCTTTATTCAGATCCTAACTGACCTGAAACAAGAAAAGTTGAGTCTGATTTAATGTAAGATGATGAGAAAAAAAAAATGATTATTTTTACACAAGTTTCAACTGTTTAAATCACTTTTTGGGTAAAAAAAAAATCATTAAATCAAAGTGTTTAATGAGCTCTTCTAATTAAAAATATGATTAAGTTAATTAAGACAAAATAGAAAATGTCTGAAATTTATTCTAAAGAAGGAAATGTTGGAAAACACGAAATAAAACTCATCAGCTTTGATTTATAAATATGCAGGGGCGGAGCTAGAGGGGTGGTCAGGGTGGCAAGTGGTACCTGATTGGCCACCCCCAAATAATTGATAAATGGGGTGGGGCTCTTTGGTTTTTGAATTTAGATTTTGTTAAAGTTTTCTCTCTGATACAGCTGTACCATATAAAATTTCAGCTGTTTATGTTCAAAACAAGTTGAATTATAGCCTTTGTAAAATTAGCATTAACAGTTAGCTTCATTTGGGATTTGCATCAGCAACCAGAATGTAATTATTCTTAGCTACTCCAAAACAAATAAATCAAAATAAGTCTTAAAATAGTGGAATTATAGTTAGCTGTGGCAGCCATCTTGAATTTGTGATTAGCATTTAGAATTTGGTAAAAATTGTTTTCAGATACTTCTACACTAATGCTCAGCACTGTGTGTGTAAAAGAGGCTGAATAATAAGTTCTGAATGTTTGGATCATTCTGAGCTTTAATAAAAAAGAACTTCAGCTCAATATTTCCTAAAACAGCTTAATTTAAAAAAAATCAAACGGCTGAATTAGCAGTGGTGGCCATTTTGAATTTTCAAATCCAGAGGGCTTTTCTTTATTTGAATGTGCCCCCCGAAAACAGCCTCATTGGCCACCCCTGTGCCACCCCATGCTCCGCCCCTTTAAACATGTTTTAGAAAATGTTCTGTAATATCCTGTCATTTACTTGTGTGAGTGCGTTCAGTCTGTTAGCAAAATAACTCAAATCAGTAAACACATTTGACTGAAACTCTGAAAACAATCACTGGACACACTATCTATTTTGATTGACGTTTAGGGTCAAACTCATTCAAGATGGCCGCCACAGCTAATCAGTTTCAACTATTCAGACATTAAAGTGTCTGGGATCTGAATATCCTTCAAATACAGTCAACAAAACATCTTTATGCTTAATAAACTTGGCATAATACACACAATTTTGGTAATTTTGTAACATAACTGGCAGATTTTCTTTTGAACTTGGCTCAGTTAATGCGAAACAGGAAGTGACATCAAAGGGGAACTCTTTAAGAAAGTGAACTGCTTCATCTTTATTTGAACTCTGACTCTTCATCTGACAGAGAATATAATCTAAAGAAACTTCAGATTCTTCTCTACAATTTGTTGGTTAGTGTAGCAACGCTCTGTTTACATTGTTATTGCCCTCTGACATCACTTCCTGTTTCTGAACATGCAAATATCTCAACAACTGTTCATCTCAGCGGTGTGAAACCTTTTTCGCAACATGTTACCGATATTATTTTTCCAAAAATGCATTAATATTTATTACAAAAATTTGACATCACGGGTCCTTTAAACGAAGCTTCTGGACTGAAGCAGGAGTGGAGCGAAACGAGGCTCATCATGCATCAAACTACTCGACACTCTGGCACCAAAATTGATTTTTTTAATAAAAGTTGAGTTAGTTTTAACAAAAGTTGAGTTAGTTTTAATAAAAGTCCTTCATGACGTCCTGTGGGGGTGATGAACACATGAATGAGGAGGAAGTAACGCAGTAAGGGTGGGAGAAAGACGGCTGATTTATGTTCTAATATCCGATTTTAATGTTTTACTGTATTTGAGACAAACTATAATTAATGTTTCATAAACTAACCTCATATTTTTACTTCTTTACTGAAGACGTTTGCTGATCTGTGGTTTAGTGATTAGATCTGCTGTTTGTGTAAAATTAGACAACTGTAATTTTCCTTTTATTGGCTGTTAAAAACAGGAAGTGATCTGAAAACACACGCTGCGCTCTGTGAGGCTGTTTGCTCCACTTTGGTTGCAGCTGCTCTGAAAATCACCAAAAATAATCCCTGCAGCAGGTTCTGGGTCAACCTGCAGGTCTGGACGGGTCCGATAAAAGGTCTGGTCTGAGCGTCTCAAACAGGTTTTATAAAACTTGTTCCAGCTCCAGTCCTGCTCCCAGTTTTTACTGGTTTAGATCAGTTTTAATGTTTCAGAGATCAGGTGAGTTATTTCACTCTGTTTACATTCATCACAGTAAAAACCGACGCAGATATTTGGGAGATATTAGGTTTAAAATGTTTTGGTGATTTACAGTAAATTGCTGACAGATGAATCTAAAAATACATTTTCTGCAGCCTTTACACGGTCTCTTCTCTCGCTCTTCAAACCCACATCGCTCACTCACTGAATAAAAATGCCCGCTCAGCGTTTTTGCTGCTTTAAAGCAGAGCTGCTGCGATTCGTGCAGGCGGCTGATTGAGGCGTTTTAAATCCTGCATGGATGAGCGCGGTGAATCAAAGAGCAGCCAGAGGCTGATTTGTGCTCGTCTGCAGAGGAACACGAGGACCTTCCTCACCTGAAGCCGTGTTGATGCTCCTCACCGCCTCCCGGGCGCTCACTCTGTTGTTGGGGGGGTAGTCAGGGACGGCGTTCTGGTTGCACTTCTCCGACATGCGAGGACTGACTTTGGCAGGTTGATGTCTGAGAGGCGGAGAGAGGAAAACTTTACATTTGAGTTATTTTACAGATTAGGGTTTGAAAACAGGAAAAACAGGGTTTATCTAGAAATGAACACATTTTTAATACAAACACAACTTTGAGCTGGAACCTCTTTAACTTCTGCTATTTAAATTAAAAATAATATATTAGTGTAATTTTCTTACTTAACTTTTGTCATAAGTGTAGTATTATTACAGTTACTGGATACATACTGACCTTTATATGATTATTAGTAGGGGTGTAAGAAAATATCGATACACTGAAATATTGCGATATTTCATTTCCCGATACTGTATCAATATTCTAAAGCCCTGTATCGATTTTTTATTAAGGTTTAAAATGTCAACCTTCTTGCCAACTGTTCATTTTTATGTTGTAGTTCAGCCTCTGACCACTAYTTGGCAGCAGTGAGCCAGCCATTTGGCTCCTCTACCTCTTGGGCGCCAGAGAGTAAGAGTAGCGTTAGCGTTGTAGCTTTTCTTTTTCTTTTTTTTTTTCAGTAAGAGTTTTTTATTTAAAATAATTTTTGGACAAAAAAATCGCAATATATTGCCTTGCTTACAGTATCGCAATATATCGGGATATATCGTATCGCGACCCCTCTGTTATGATATGTATCGTATCGCCAAATTCTTGCCAATACACAGCCTAATTATTAGGACCACATATTGATTTCGTTCTGTGTTATTTTTTATTTTTTCAGTGATTTTTGGTCAACCGTAGCACAAAAACAGCTGCACCAATCAACATGAAGTTTAGCAGGACTGTAGATGAGTCTGACCTACACTGCACCAGCTAGCTGTTTTACGATAGACCCCATATTTGAGGAGGGGGCTCCACCTGAAAAGGGGACATTAAAAATGCTTATAATTCAAAAACTGTTCAACATAGGAGCTTCAGATTTTTGTTGTTGTTTAGCTCTGATGAAGCTCTATCCATCAGGCCCACCAACAAGAATATGCAACTTTAATCTGACTCCAGTGTGAACGCTTCACAGCCTTGGCGCAACGTCACTGTTTAGAGTGAGCTAAACATGGATGCTACATGTTAGCGCGTCGATTCTGAAGTTGTTGCTCAATCAGAGCTGATGATAGATTTATTTTACAAGCTTGTTTAGTTCAATAGCTATGTTTACATGTGCAAACGTCTTTGATTAAAACGCATTGTTCACATGAACACAATCTGATCGTGAAGAGCGTCTACAAGCACCGGCTTTATTCAGAATAGCAGCACTGACGTGTGCAGAGTGGTTAACCTTCTCTAAAAAACACAGAAGTTCTGCATGTGTGATGAACACAAACATCTTCTGAGTGCCTGAATGGACCTGCGCCAGGTTTTAATAACAATGGAGACGTTGTCCTCCCTGGTTGAGCTGCAGGTGAAGCAATATGTGAGTTTTTGTTTTGTTTCTTTCTTTATTATCGGATGAAAAAACGGGAGGAAAAGTTCTGTGCTGCCGGTCCCGCCTCCACAAAAGAGCAGAAACCGGTAGATAAAAGTCAAAAGCCCAGTGAGTTTGATGGTGTTGGTCTCATCTGGGACTCACCCCGACTGGCCGTGCTGCTCGTCGATGGCGTCCACCGCACTTTCCACAGAGCTCAGCAGAGACTGGATCTGATTGGCCGATTCCTTCAGGAGGAAACGGGTCACAAACTGCTCCACGTTGGTTCCTCTCTCATACACCTGGAAAACAACGTTTGGGTTTTCTCTGTTAATAACTTGGGGCGTAAACAGAACCACAGAGTTTTAAGAGTGACACCATTTGTTTGTCTTGGACTCGGGTGATGAGCTCCTTCCTCTCATGTCATGTTTGATACATCTTTAACAGAACAAGACTTCAAAATGATCAAACTTCTCCTTTAAAACAGGAAAAACAAAACCTGTTAGCAGCAGCTTCTTAATAAGCTACAACTCACTGGAAGGATTTATTTTCCAGAGACGGTTCAAACTATCAGAGCTTAAAGGGATAAATTAGGAGAGTTTTGAGGATTGCAGCAGCATGTCGTAGCATGACTTGACAAAAAGAGTCACAGAAACAAGTCACTTTCTTGAGGAAGAACAGAAACCTGTTATAACAGGAGTTATTTTACCTCTAAAACCACTTTAATTATCTACAAATCAGATCGTTTGATTAAAGAAAATCCCTCCTCTGCTCTTTATTCATCAATCATAACGAGACGCAGCAGCTCTGTCAGCTGGAGGAATGTTTACGAGCTGCAAAAATATACAAGATTATAATATAAATTAACTTTTAATGAGGATTATATGCTCGAGATGAACTGGCTTCAATAAAAACAAGAAAAATCTGCTGGAATTAAAAATTTAAATCAAGTTTCACAAAACCAACAAAAAGCACAGAGTCAAAACTTTTAAAAATATCTGAGGCAAAGACAAATATTGAACGAAGTTAGTAAAAATACCTGATTAGATTTGCCTTAAACTGAACCTGAAGCAAGAATATTTCATGACAGAAAAATCTTTGCCTAAATTTTCACTTTAGTTCCTGATTTTTTAAGACTAGAACAGAACTAAAAGCTCATTTGAGATAAAATGTAAAACTGTGCAAAAACTTTTGCAGCGTTTAAACAGAAATTACATCATAAATAAATTAAATACGACTTTTTCTAATAAAGTTGACATAAATGTTTCCATTTGCAAAGTTAAAAAGCAGGAATAAGATGTATATTCTTTATAGACTGGATGTAAAATGACAAAAAAATTTATTGTGACAGATACAAAGTTTTGATTTAATATTTTATAATGTAAGAAAAAAATCAACAAATTGTTTATGACATTTTCTTCAAACAAAAAATGCTTGGAGTTAAGGTTTGGAGAGTAAAAAAAAATTTTTGTAGTTTATTTTAATCCAAAATGATTGACTTTCTACAGAAATGTTAAAAAAGATTTAAATTAGGTTTAATAATTTTTGCAGTTTTTACAACCAGACTGTCGAAATCCTCAGAGCTCCTCTGTCAGAAAATATAAAACTTTAAAAAGTCTTATCAGACCTAATCCTTAAACCTAAACAAACAGGTTTTAGCTCCTGAAAGGAGACGAAAGAAGCCGAAGTTTTTGGTTTGTTTGTTAAACTGAAGCAGTCGTTTCCCATCTCCAATATAAACAGATTTAAAACAGGTTTGAGCAAACAGGAAGTTCAGAGCAAACAGGAAGTTCAGAGCAAACAGGAAGTTCAGAGCAAACAGGAAGTTCAGAGCAAACAGGAAGTTAAGAACAAACAGGAAGTTAAAAACAAACAGGAAGTTCAGAGCAAACAGGAAGTTTAGAACAAACAGGAAGTTCAGAGCAAAGAGGAAGTTCAGATTTATTGACCGGCGGTGTCTCGGTGCACAAATCTGATCAGTTCCAATCACCAGGAAGGAAAAGTTTCTCAGTAACATTTTATTTTAGACAGAGACGCTCTGAAGAAAGTCTGAAGAAAAGCAAATCCTGAGCACTAATTGACTTCAGGTGTTCTCCAGAGAGTGCAGTCAGTCGCTCATGTCAGCCTTTCTGTCGGGAGTCACGCTGAAGTGATTCAGGGAGGAAATTAGGGTTCCTGTGCAGTCAGCCATTCTCCACCGAGCTCTAATCAAAGACAAACTCCCCCCACGAGACCCCAAATCACACAAGTCATTCTGGCTGCCATTATCACAGCCAACGGGTTTTACACACAAACACAAACTGCATCACCAATTATCATAAAAATACACATCAAATAAAATGGGTTTGGTTCTGTTAGACGACTCGTTTCTGCAGATTCTCCAAAAACTCTTAAAACATTTCAGAGAAATGAGAATAATCTGAAGATTGTTTAAAGAATAAAAGACAAAACTCAGCTGGATTAAAGCTGAAACACTCCGGCTGCAGCAGAACCACCAAAAACCAAACCTGTTCACAACAAGTAAGATATTAACTGTTCATAGCCTCTCCATAAAACCCCATTTTAACATTTGAACCAGAGCTGCATGATTTAGCGTTTGAGCATCACAGTGTAGGAGAGAAATTAAATCCAAGTGTTCTCAGGACTAAAACATTAAACAAAAAGTCATTGCACTAAACGGTTGTGTTACGGCTTTTATTTTGACGGGTGTGAAAAAAGCTAAAACTTCTGTTTTGTTGTGAAACTTCTGGGACAATAATGGAGGAAGAGGAGAAAACTCGACGAGAGCTGGAGGGAAAGAGTCAAATTATGGTTAAAGGAAACAAGAAGCGAAGATGGACGGAGGCAGGAAGTAAAACAATTCATGTTTGCAGACGATACAAGGATTTACATGTAGGTCTCAGGGCCAGGAATCATAATAACTCTTAAACAGACAACATGTTCTAACGCAAAATAAAGAGTTAAGATGGCAGCAGAACTGTGTTTATTTAAGTCAGTTGTTGACAATTGTTCTATGTTTATGTTTTAAGTTACGTTTTTAAAGAAATATGAAACAATATAACGTATTTATATGAATTGTTGTTTGACAAGGATTTGAGGTTATTTTTGCCTAGTTTTTCTTGTTTGTAGAATATTATTGTTTAAAAATGTTAATTTCGGGAGGAAAAAGGCGCAGATACTGTAAGATTTTTTCTTCTTTTTACTGCCTTTCATTTTATTTGTGATTTGTATTTGTATATATAGTACATAATATACATAATCTAATAAAGTTCATTGTGTCTATAAAACCAATCTACTACGTGTTTCTAATTACTGGACAGTGTCTAGTAATTAGGAACACGTAGTAGATATATAATATACAATATATTTATTGTATATACATTTATTTTGTTATTTTAACTAAATTAATAAAATACTAAAACAAATTTTTTAAATCCTGGATTTTTCATGTCACAATTTATTTATCACAGCATTAGAAAAACTAAAATCCGTAACAGAAATTTTATTGTAAAATTGCATTTTGAAATCTGTGGCGATATAAGAGTTATAGATTTATCAACATATGTTCAGTTTGTAATTTAGCAGAAAATATTACTGATTATATATACAGTATACACTCACCGGCCACTTTATTAGGTACACC